TATCAGCAATCAAGAAATATTTTGTTATAAGTAGATAAAATTAACAGTAGTGTCAGACAATAGAGTCAGAGTCCTATAAAAATTATTATGCAAGTTTCCAAAAAAGAGGCACTTCTTGCCCTAGTAAGCAAATGAGAGCTGGCAGTTTCAATTATCATGCTTTCTTAGATCCAACAGTAGAAACATGGATGTTACTAATGAAGATAAACAAGAAACATTTACAAGAAACAAGAAACCTTTTTATAACTGAATTTAAATTGACATTCAATGGCATAGAATATTTCTCTTAGCCTAATGAAGTTCTGCCTCATCCAAAACCAGATTCTCTCTTTTATTGAAACAGTACTGAATTTTAGTAGGCAGGATGACTGCTCTTATGTTGGAAAACCACTTGATTCCAGTTCTTTGAAGCTTTTATTATGTGTCTTTCAGTTAAAAACTGTGGCATTCTGCTTCAAGACTGCACTGCTGTTATTCAATGGATGGTAAATGATCCTCATGAAAACTCAAATGCAACAATATCATAAAATGCAAACCAGCATAACACATAACACCCAAAACTAGTCCCAAAACAGTAATACACCAGTTTGAAAATTAGCAATAATTGGTAACAGTTATTAGAAATAATTGCTTAAGCAATCCAGAGGCAGGAAACTTTATGGTACATATGAAGTTCGGTGTTTCCAGTCTTTCAAACAAACGAAAAAAAATCAAATTAAAAAAAAAAAAAACCAAAAAACTGGAACAGAAAAAAAAAAAAAAGAAAAAAAATCAAATTAAAAAAAAAAAACACCCAAAAAACTGGAACAGAAAAAAAAAAAACTCAACCAAATGAAACCACAAAGCTCTAATCCTTTCATTCACAGATTCACTTTCATGCATCTTTCCAGTGCTGGAGTGCCACATACATGAATTCAAACTTGGCATCATGCAAGTCCAGATGAGTGACACCCTTCAAATGGCTCAATAAACCAAGATTTGTGGGAGCTGCTGCTCTCAAAAACGAGAAAAAAGGAAAAAAGTTGAGTATGTTCAAGAACCAGAAGAGCACCTGCACCTATCCCGTGTGATTACCCTGAAACCACTACCTCCTGGCTTTAAGGATAACTAAGACCAATACCACTGCTGTGTAGAAGGGGCATGAGAAAGCTTTCTCTGAATCTGCCTCTGACTGAGACAACCAGCCCAGCCTGTCACCCTGGGGATCCACCAGGAAAGCAGGCACAGACCTAAGCAGGCCAAGCTGTACATACCAGCGCAATACATAAATGAGTTCGCCTATTTCACCCCGTCACCCAGACAGTTAAAACCCTCCTCTGGAGCTGCTCATTACAGCACGGCACTCCGCTGATAAGAAAGCAGCAGAGACCCTCTCCCGCACCGGGATGTGAGAAGGGCAAAAGCCCCGGGGGCTCCGGGCAGCGCTGCCGATCGTTCCCGAGAGGCGCTCACGGCAAGCCGGGCGGGTGCTGCGGGACGGGGGTACTCACCCGACATGCTGGGCTGGGCTGGGCTGGGCAGGGCTCGGTCCGCGGCGCCCACCGCTCCTGCCGCCTCACCTGCGGCCGGGGGGGCCGCTAAACCGCACAATGGGATTAGCCTCCTTCCTGCTGGAGGCAGCGGCAGGTGAATCACATTCGCAGGGACTCCTGCGCAGCAGCAGAGGAAAGGCATTAGCGGCGGGGACCATGGCGGGGGGGCTGGCACGGCCCACCCCGCCCCCGCTGCGGGCGCTGCTTTGCTGCGTGAGGGGCGCGCTCCGCTCCCGGGGAGGCACTGGAGACCGACACCGGCACAGCCCAGAGCTCGGCCCGGCCCCGCAGGCTGACACCAGCACAGCCCAGAGCCCGGCCCGGCACCACAGTCCGGAGCCCGGCCCGACACGGGCACGGCCCGGAGCCCCTCAGCTGCCCCGCTCCGGGCACGGCTCCTCCAGCGGGCGCGGCGCTCCCGCTCCATGGCCGCCTCGGGCTGAGCCCATTTCTCGGGATGGGAGAGACCCTCGTTCCCTTCCTCCGGTTCCCTCCCGTCCCGCACCCTGCCCGATGCTCTGGGTGCCCTCCGGGTCTCAGGAACCGCCGCAAAGCCTCCCCATCACCCCCACGCCTGTGTAGAAACCGAGAGGAAGGGACCCAGGTTGGGGAGAGTCCGCCGCGCAGCGCCCAGAGGAAAACACCAACCTCTGTGATGGTGAAGGTGGCAGAGCATGGAAAAGGGTCTCAGAGCATGAGTAGGGTGATTCCAGCGTGGCCTGTGGTCACACAGATACACGGGATTCACTGTGAATGAAGGGGGTTTACCCCTAGCTCGCTGAGGCCACCCTATCCCCTACAGATACTCACGGTCCGATAACTTGTCTCCCAGAGAAGCAAGGGGATGTTTTCAGTGTCAGGAAGCTCATGCTGTTCAGAGGGCTGTAATTCAGCCATACAATGTCTCTGCAAGGTAATTTTAGGCTGATGTGGTTCAGCCAAGGCATTTTTGTTTCAAAATGTGCTGTGAACATCAATATCTATGTAGCAGAGGTAAACAACTTTCGGGTAGTGTGCCACTGAAAAAACTGCCTAGTGGTACCACTCAACTATTTAAAACTTTATTTCCAACAATTTGCAAGAGATCTCTGTTGCCACTCCAAGCTGCAGCATTTGTTCTCTCACACCCTGGAAGAATCCTTAAGGTCCACCACAGAAGAGGGTGTCATTGTTCTGTAGTAATTGTGAAGTGTTTGAAGGAAGGAAGGATGGACATAAACACATAGGAAATTGAGTTTTATTTATCCCACAGAAACAAAATTCTCAGGGATCTGTGTTCACCATTGACTTATGTAGACAAATCAACTAGACAACATCAGTACCATGACTACTGTTGTAGATAATTTTACTGGCAGATTTCTTTCACTTGGGGGACTTGAAGACTAAGGAACGTTTCTCCTTGGTAATAAAAGTGATGTCTATATTTAAATGACAATCTCTTTTACTTGTATGCCAGCAACTTTTTTTACAGTATAGAATAAATTTTAAGTATCAGAGCCAGTAACACCAGCTAGAGTTCAATGTTCTAACAGCCAGTTAATCTTCCTTCCTTCCTTCCTTCCTTCCTTCCTTCCTTCCTTCCTTCCTTCCTTTTAAATACACTAGAGCTTCCCTATAGAACCCCTCAATTACCTGAAACGATAATACTAGATATTGTTAATACAATAATTATAAATTTGTTTTTACCATCATCGTTCTAGTTAAAAGGGAAATTGACACCTAAAAGTGCATCTGCACACTGGTATATTGATGTATTGGTATATGTTGACAAATTAGACCAAAGAGCTTCAGAGGGTCAAACACTTGGGTAGTCAGGGTTTATCCATTCAGATTCATAGGTTTTGCTCAAATTCTCCATAATAAATCTGATTTTGGGCTATAAATACCAACACAAGTAATAAATTATTTTGAAAATATTACGAATAATTTAAAATAAATTGTCATAGTATAGCTAAATCAAAAATATTGCACATAGATCCTTCTCTAGACACTTACTAAAAAAAAGAGAGAGAAAAAGAATAGCTAGTTAAGCTGTTTTGATTATTTTGTTGGGGTTTTTTTTCCTGTATTTGTTCTTTGGTTTGAAGCATTTCCTTCTTTTCCCTAGTGGGCCATATTTGAACTTTTATACAGAAGGTATCAACCCTCATATGTCCCAGAAAGCAGCAAACAAAACAAACAAAACCTGGGTCATCTTAGATAAAACACAGTAGGTGTTTATTGAAAATTTAAAATTTTGAAGAGAAAGAAGCAAAATATATATTTTCATGGTTGAACAAACAACTGAAGTTGTAACACCAAAACACTTGTCATTTCATTAATCAAATCTTTATGTCTGTCTGACAAAATATACATCAATCTGTTTTAACTGTTAACATGGAAAATTAATATTTTAAAAGAAATATTAAATGTCCTTGAAAACCATATTAAAAATTTCTCATTTACAAGTTGAAAGTGATAGCCACAAAGGTGTTCATTTGTTTGTGTGTTGTTGAGATGTTTCTATGTTTAAACTGATGTACATTATCATTTCTTTCAGGATCAAAAAAAAGAAATGCTAGTCTAAGCAAGCAACTCATATATATAAATTTAAAATATTATTCAGATAAATAATATTTTATTATATGAAAAATTACTTTTTAAATATATGTCTTCCTCTCAATGATGTAATAAACACAAAATCATATTCATCTCCATGTAAGTGGAATTGCAGTAACAAAAACCATGCTTTGTGTATAAAATGAAGATAAAACCATACCAATTTCCTTATGCTTTAAAAAGTTAGTTAAAATGCCTCTATTGCAGAATTATGTCAGTAAATTGCTAGTTTTGCCAACTTTCATCTGTATTTCGTTCACTTGCTGTTTTTTGATCCAGTTAGCTAAATGAAGGACGAGATAGGAAAGGTGTCAATTTTCATTACAGGTTTGTCTACATGAGGACATTGTTAGCACTGCAAGGTCCATCAGGAATGAGGGAAAGAAGTGAAACTGTCTAGCTAGAAAAACTATGTCAGTCATACCTCCACATAGTATGAAGTTGAAAAGTCTTTGTGACTTAGATTTTAGAGATTAAAGCATGACAAACTCATTCTAAATGAATCAGAAAAATCTTTGTACCCATTTTCCCTTTTCAGAAGTTATGAATAATATGTTTTTTTTAGAAAACCCGTCTTTCTAGATTAATGTCTTTAAAGGTTCCTAAAGTCAGGCCTAAGTTTTCAAGAACAGAAATGAGACTCACGTAAAATTCTGGTTCCTGAGAAGAGCTAAATACCAGTTTAGTAATCAATCAATAAAATAAATAAATAAATAAAATTAGAATGTGTTCCTCTCTGTTTAAACAGTGGTTTGTCAATATACATAATCTTTTCAGTGTATTATAAAATCAAGAATGAATTTTCTAGATATAGTTCCTTTCACTTTGCTGAAATTCAGACACAAGCACAAAGTAAAGGGATTCAAATTTTTAATCCTTTAGACAACTACAAATTTTCTTTAAACACAGTAAACATTACAGGAATATACTGGAGAAACCAACAGGTGTGAAAGGAAATGGCATATGCTTTATTCCTATTCTATCAGAAGGACTGATTTTTTGGCTAATTTTGAAAACAGAAAAAAAATTATTTGGTGACTCAAATCTCCATAAACAAGAATCCTTCAACTTTTAGCTTATATCAAACATGATTTCTTTGTTGTTTATGATAACTTCTGAGTCAAAATCTGTATCCTTTATGAATGCAGGTCAGAGAGTGCAATACAATCCCTGGATGTCTTAAGAATATTTTTGACGACATAAAGTTCGAGGTGCAAAAGTGACATCAGGTTAGAGAGAGCAGGATTGCAATGTCTCAGGAAAACATTCGTTAGAGGAAGATTTTCTTCTGTCAGAATGGCAGTGTAGAATGTCACTAACCAAAGGAGCCTGTGATCGGACAGCAACTCTTCTTTCAGTGTTTTACACTGCAGCCCCACCTAAAAAATGAAAATTGAACATTCAGTGCTTCCACTGTGGGTGTTCTTTGCCAGCTTTCTGAGGGTGATCTGGGCCACCCTGGCTGGTTTCCACACACAGAACCAAAACTGCCAGGCACCTCTGTGCTGGAAGAGACAATTGTTGGTCAAGTTCCCATCAACTTCAGCACTAAATCAGTGGAAAACTGTTTGGGCCTTACCACGTGGTTTGAAACAAAGCTTCTTATTCTTGTAAGCGGTGTAGGCTGCTATTGATCCAACAACCAGTATCACAAAAGCAGAAATTACAGGAGATGTAACTCCAGCTATTAAACCCGAATCTGTGGAAAAAGAAAGAGAAGGGTTTTGGGTTTTTTTCAGAGGCACTTAAATGGTTTGTCTTAAGTATATTGTCTACTAAAGCATGCCTTTACCAAATTAGGAAAATAGTTTGGTGAAACTACAGAATTAAGAAGATGAATAAAAATTATGTAATAGTACAGATTATGTGAAAATTATGCCTTAAAGCCTAATTTATTATATCTGCTACTTGGTAAGGTTATCATTGTTTTAGTATTTCATAAAGATCAGAAATCAATTGCAGAATAATGTAAATAATTACTATACCTGTGTTCCCTTCATGATTGAAATTATGCTGCTCTTCTCCTGGAATAGAGGGTGAAGCTTCATGAAAGATATGCTTATCAACCTGTTTTGAGAACTAAATCTTTACTCAGCAAAGTATGATGTACAAAGGGCAAAAGGGGTGGCCCAACAAGACTGCAAGAGAGGAGCTCCCCTTCTACTTCCCACTGATGGCTGTGCTGGCCAGAGGAATAACTGCTCATCCTCTTGAAACTTCCTTTTTGGGGAAGAATGTTATTATCTAATAGAGGGACCATTTGTAACAGGCTACATCAAGCTGATTTCACAGGGAGGCCAGTATAGTCTATCTCTTCTCTACTGCCAGATAATCAGATCATTTATCAGTAGTTTACACCAAGATCTTAGTCTTGGTCCATGTATTTCAGCATGCCCCTTGGTTTTGGACTTTCCTTGCTGAATTCAAAGGGGTAAAACCTGCAGGCTCCTGGCATATGCTAGAGTGCTAAAAAATGTTTTGGAATATGTTTCAAATTCTAGCTTCAGGCTCAAAACCTCAGGCTTTTTGTGAAGGATAACTAACCTAAATAAAAATAGCAGAGTCTGGTCCTATACCTTCAGAGACAAACAGATTATCACTAAACCAAAACCAACCAGAGTTGGTCTATACCTTCAATTTAGAGGTATTAGGAATGCATTGCAAGGGAAACCGGCAAATGTTACCTGGTGGTAAAGGCTTTCCATCAAGGAGATCTGAGTCATCAAAACCTCCTGCAAGATAAAGATTCCAGTTGCAAAATTATATACAATGATAACCCCTTCAGCTCCCTTGTCCACTCCTTTTGTAGTGCTCTGGGAGAGGTGAGGGACCTTTGAAATCCCAGCCACAATGTGGTGGATGGGTCACATGTCTTACACTGAACAGTTACCTACCAAAATTCACCTGAAAGCTGAAGCACTGACACTGTTGGTGTCTATGTATTCTGTGTCTGTTTTGGGCACTTGTGGGCTATGTGGGCTTGGGCTCTCAGTAACACAAATCCTTATATAATATGGACATCTTGGGTCCCAGTGATCCCTGAAGCAGAGAGTCAGTGGGTCCTTCCCAGGAAAGACTCCAGAAGGACCTGTCACAGCTCACCACTAGAGCCATACCAAAAGTAAGTGCAGGTACAGGGTGAAAGCCAGAATAGATATGCCACATTTACTTTATCTAAGCAAGTGTCTGGAACCAAACTCAAAAGCAATACAGGTTGCCCAGCCCCATCTGCTGTATGCCCCGGGGCCATCTCAGATGCACATCTCAAATTGATTTGAGCACAGGTTTATCCCTGCCCTGTGGCTAGATGTCAAATTTGAGCCTTTGCATAGTTCAGTGTATACACACCCAAAATGAAAACACAAACAAGATTAGATGTTAGTCTCGTGACACTTAAGATGCAGTGTCCCAAATTTTGAGCAAACGGAAAAACTTTATGGCTTCAACACTAACTAACATTCAGGAAAAAGCTTTCTCACCTCTGGGTCAGAAACAGTGACTGCAAAAGGAAGATGTGGGAAAAGGATGATAAATGCTGTTACTAGAGAAATAAGAGACTAAAGCATTCAAAATGTCTGCTCTGAACAGCTGATAGCACTACATTTTCTTATGAGCAAATAGTCTTACCAGAATTACCGTAACTTCCTGGGCGTGGTGGAAGAGGTGGGTATAAAGGTTTTCTCGAGATGTCACCTATTGATAATTAATATTGTTAGATGATTGAACAGGCAAAACTGGGAAATGTAAATAAAAACATTTTATACCTATTTCTAATTTGTCCTCCCATGAATTAATAAAAAGACCTTGTCAGTTGTTAAGATTTAAGCACTATATCAACAAATAGCTAGCTGTAAAAATTGACTTGGAAGTGAACAGGAAATATTTTTAAAAGAAGATAAGAATTTGCAAGAAACATCGAGGGAAAATATTTTATGTATATCTGGCAAGTGCTAACATTGATTAAAGCTGACAGCTAGGAGGCACAATGCGTCAGTCACTGTGGGTGTCAGTGCTGCAGTTATTCAGAGCCAACAGAGAAGCTTGTGCTCTAGGCTGGGCAGGAGGCAACAGGTTATCTCATTGCCATCAGCAGATTTTAATAAGGCCTGCAGATTAGTTTCATCTAACAGATGATGAATTTATCTTAGGCAAAATGAATTTCCTTCTCTTGAACAGTGCAAAATGATCTCAGACTTCAGCTTTGCTGTTGTTTAGAACTTTGTGCTAAAGTTTAGCATTTAGCCTTAATTTTTTGCCAAAGGATTAGAAAGAGAAGCATTGGATAGAGCAGGAGATCTAATGACTAAAAGCAGTTTCCAAGCTGCATACACAATACTGAAGAGCTCACTCAGGTCAAAGCCTGCCATATTCAACATCTAAGGTTGCTGCTCTGTGTGAATAGAGTTGTTTTCTCTTGCCACCCTTTACTCAACCAATTCAATCAGGTATTCAACTGTTCTTAAAAATGACAGACAGTGTATTTTTCTCAGCATAAATCAAAATTAGGTCACAGAAATAAATAGCAATTTCCCTCCCCCTCTTTAAATCTTTCACCTTCCAAACATGCCAGATGTTCTTTTGCTATGTTTTCTTCTTCCCTAGCTGCTAAATACAATGCTTCTGTTTCTGAGCACCATTTAGGTTCTGATCCAGAAAATCATTTTGGTATATCCTTAACCTCAAGTGAGTTTAGCCTATAGGCAATAGATTTTAGGTATAGCCATAAAGCTTTGCTGAATCTGATTTTGCCCAATTAGCTATATTCAGCAGAGAAAGGACTTGCTCCGTTCTAGATCTGTGTAATGAACTAAGACTCACCGTGGCACAAAAGCAGAAAACCAACAATCCCACATTTAATTTCTATCATGATGCTGCACTTAGTCCTCTCTAAGCATAAGAAGACATATTGTATGGCATAGCTGGTGAAAAAATAATGTATTCAAAAATACTGATAACGAGATACATAACTTTAACCTTATTATACCATGTATGAAGGTCAATTAAAAACCTGAACTAAAAATGGAACAAAGAAATAAAAACCAATGGAAATACAATTTTCCATCCTTGGAATGAAAATATTTGGTTTAGTTAAGATACTTAAGCTATTAATTCATACTTTAGTCAATATATCTAACCTATCCTCTCATAACAGTACTCAATAAAAGCTTGCAGATAACAGTACTCAATAAAAGCTTGCAGGAATGGAAGAATTATTACAGGGAGGAATAAATGAAATTATAAACATGGGAATTATTAACAAAATTAGATCCAGCTTTGTAAAATGTGAACTAATACATCATTCACATAAATGCATGAAGTGCCACAGAGGAAGTCAGAAATGGGAAAAAAAATCCCAATATAAAAGGACAGTCACTGTCTAAGACTGAAAGGTGAGCAAACCAGAGCACTGCAGCTGGTTCAGAGGTTCTGTGCAATTGGCTGAGAAGTAACTTTTCTTTTGTGTGGCTGTTATTAAAGTGGAATTTTAGGCTTTGCAATAATAATTGCATTTTGGGTATCTGCAGTATTCAAGAACCTTTCTAGAGTACTTCACATCTCTAAACACATTAACTAAAATTTGGTGTACAAATTCCCAGCCTCAAGGATTTCATATATCTCCACAGCTCACTATAGTTCTGTGAATACTTCCGAGGTCAGGTCTGGGTGTTTTGGGAATATCTGGAAGTTAACAGCTGGTTACAACAGCTTGACTGCTTCAAGCTTAAGCTGTATTCACCAGTGCTCATCTCTGAAACATTCCTTCCTGAATTTCTAATTTGCCATCAGCAGAGCTACTAGAAGCTCAAACCTCCCCATCCAGTGTTACCTCTGATTCCTAATCTTAGACAGGGCCATTTTTGGTCACTGAAGAAACTACAGCCATCGCCTTCTTCAGGCTCCTGTCAGAGGACTCCACCCTGAGCCACCCCAAGTGAATGGGTGATGTTTGCCCTCCCCAGCCACGCCTGGGGTGCTCTGCCATGGCACAGCAAGCCCCAGCTCACTTCAGTTCATGCAAGGCAGGGCAGCTGGAGGCTCTCAAAGGTAGCTGTGAGCAGGTGCTGTCCCCACTCTGCAGGACAGCCTCAGGCAGAAGGGCTGCATGTACATGATTTGTAACAACTCTCATCACCATAGCACCTCCTGCAGTACTGAAATGTCTTTTTACAAATTAGGCAGAGTTCAGGAAAGGACTATGAAAGAAAAAAATCCTCTTGTATTCAAGGAAACAAGGCAGTACTCACCCCCACCAAGAGCATCTCCTAAATGTAGATCATTGTCTAAAAATGAATAGGAGGAAGATGTAGAAAAGTGAGTTACATGCAATTCTTGAGGGAAATGAAATGTTATTTTCATTAGAACATGTACAACTGCATGTTTGACAAGCACCTTTTTCAAGTAAGTGCCACAAATTCAAATAAGTTATCTCACTTTTCTTGAAAACTCTCATAGACTCTAACATTTTCCCACACACTAATTGACAAATAGCAGAGTATTTTCTACTCAAAATACAAAGGTTATTTCTTGTTTTAAGTGATGTCAAAATAAATTTTACAGATGAAGCAAGATCAATACCTCTTTAATATACCTGCAAGTACAAAAATAAAATTAGCTATGTTATAATATGTAACTGTACTCACTTTTAAAATATACTCAATTTCTAACATTTATGTCTGTGGTTAAAATTTGTATATGTATGTTTGGCTCAAGTATAATTTATTGAACTAAAAAAAATGAATATCCATTTCAAGAGCAAATACTAGGGAGCAATAAACCTGCTTGGGGAGTTATTGAATCAAATATCTATGTAAGGGTCACAATGACCCTTTCCTTCAGGCAATCATATGCACCTGTCTGAGGCTGGGAGACAGTCTGTTTTTATTTGCTTGAGCTGTGAAGGTTTTTAGATAGAATTAAATGTCTGTATGTAAACGTTACTCAGTAAATCACCAGGCTGTGACCATTGCCCAGCGCCGTACACGGCTCTCGCTGTACCTGGGGTGGAATCTTTCCATGCAATAAACAACTTGTCCACGAGCTGCAGATGGGTAAGGAGGAACTCTGTTTCTAACATGCAGGTGTGGCTATGAGTGAGTGGGTGATATTTTAAGGTGTGTGTGGAATGATGGTGAGTTCTGAAAGAAATACATTAGATGGATGCTTTAGGTGCAAGAATCCCTTTCTTGATGCTTATATGCGTGGAGTGGTACAGTGAATCAGAAGAAAAGGGATAGCAAAACCTATCTAAATTTTGACAACAGTGCTTGCTGCCACAGACAACTAGATAGATTTTCAATTAAACAATTTTTTTTAATTGTAGATGTGACAGAATTCCTGAAACACAGGAAAATCACCATGGAGAAATCTGTTTTCTTCTGTTCTTTATACCTAGGAGGATTGGGAAGTTGCTTTTGCACAGTATCTAGTCTCATTTGGGTAACAACTCAGAAATACTTTGATGTCACCAGGAAATCTGGCAGGAAAATAAACAAATTCATAATACATGACTTGGTTTGTTCTTGTCAGGTATAGGTCCTTCCTGTGTCTGCCCAGTAGAGTTGCATTTCAAAAATACCTTTACCTGTCAAATGTTAAAACTGTAAGAAGCAATAAATTGAAAACTGGATTCAGTGTATTATTGACATGAAGAATTCAGGTAAAATGCAAGTTCTGCTCTGGAGGGCTCATGTAGAGATTTGCTGCAGAAATGCTCAGGTTGATATCAATGAAATAAAAATGGAAATGCATGTGTGTGTCAGGATCAGAAAAAAACCAGCAAAATGTTAAAAGAACAGACTAAAGGTCACTGTTCCCAGCAGTAAAACTGAGGAATGTGTTGTTTCTGTCAAAACCAGCAGGCCTGTCATCTGATGAGAGCACAGATGACTTGTCAGCAAAGGAAAAGCAGAAAGGCATTCTAACACCAAAGGTTGCAGCATATCACTACTTTTCTGATGGTCCACTCAGAAAATAAGTCTGTGCACACAGCCTGTGAACTCCAAACAAGTGAAAAAAAATATAATGGGCAGTAACCTGACCAAGGCTTCAGAGACACTGAAGTGAGAAATACTATGAAGCAAGGGACCTCTCTATAATACCTAAATACTCCTAATACTCCTAAAGGATATAAAAGATCTGTGGATTCTGCTTGTCATTTCTGATCAAGTAGAAGCACAGAGACAGGATAAGAGCTCAGTAGCTGGCAAGCTTTGTCTCATGCTGCACTCGATGCTCACTAGACCACCTAAGCACACACATCCTGGTGCTCATGAGCATATGGGTGTGAGGCTATGGCTGAATTAAACAGCATTTAGGAACAATGCATTCAGTGGGTAAGTATCAAGTTACATTGATATTCTGTAAATAAAAATTACCTTCCATTAAATTTTGTGATGAATTTTGCTACACTAGGGAAGTGCCTACAGAAGAGCTTCAAATCAGACAGAGGTACATGGGATGCCCAGAGGACACTGCCTGTAACTGGCCTCAGCTAAACAAAAATCTCAGTGAGCCTCAGTTCTGAAGGAGACATAGAGGAAATCCTGAAGTTAAGATGAAGCATTAAGCACCTGATAGAACATACTTTTGTACCATCTTCCTGCACTTTCCAAATCCAATAATTGATTTGTAACTCTGTGATCTTGGGTTTTCTAATAAGTTTTAATTGCTTTTCTAAACTTTCTGCAGTCTCTGTAGCGCTGAAGGAGACTCTGAAATAGTCTGGAATACATGGAGTTCTTCAGGCCCAAAAATTAGTGAAGTGGATTTGGTTAGGGTAGATGTTTATCTGATGTTCATATCTCTAACAGATTTAGGAGTCCCTAAAAATAAAAATTCCTTTCACCTGACTGAGGCAGCTTGAGTGCAGATATTGGCACTCTAAGCTACCTTTAAACATGACCAAGGATAAAGTATTTTAGGGCACAATTAAATAATTTGAAATGTTTACATTAGGATGGGAACAAATCCACATTTAGTGCAATAGTTTAAAATAGACAGACACTTCTAATCTAGGCCAGACAATTTTTTTTTTTTTTGCCAAATGAAGTGGAAAGGAAGAATGCAGTCATTAAAGTATACAATAGCTATACAAAATACTGCCCATGTTTGCTCAAAGAGGGAGCCAAAGAATTGTGTGGGAAATGTAACTACTTTCATGCACCTAAAATCTTATTTCAAAGTTTGTCCAGAAAAAGACCTGAAATTGTTGGTTTTTTTTTTAATCTAGCATTTTCCAAGGATTTTGTTTGATAGACAGAAAATAATTCAGTGCAGTTTAGGTGAAAAAAAAATCTACATTGTCATAAACTGTTCAATCACAAATGCAATTTTTTTCTTGTTTGGAATTTGGATTTTTTCAACATTAACAAGTGTTCATTGTAATTCATTGTTTGGCATTCTCATGACTACAGCTCTCCACTGTTCAGAGCCTCTTTTCCTTTCTGACACAGGTGGTTGTAGCAATCAATACTAGATAATATGAATCAAATACATGGTGAGAAGAAAGAATAGCCACAACTTCATTCTGATTCTTTTCCAACTCTGTTATCAAGCGTCATTAATAAATATACAAAAAGTAAACATAATAGGGAAAAAAGGTTGAGGAACAGTTAGCCAATTTTAGCAACAACTACCCATTGTTATACTCCCCAGGGAGTTCAGAATTATCTAGAAAAGTGTGAAGAAGGGCTTCAGAAAATAAAATACTATCACTGGCCAGCCATGCTTGGAAGCCTCACTGGAAGCAGTAAAGACACGTAATTTGTAATTGTCAAAAGAGCAATTATTTTACTTTAAGAAGACAGCCGTTAATCACACATTATCTCAGCTAAAGCACAGCAGCAAATATAATAAAGAATCTCATGTGAAAGTTTCCTACATGTACAAAATCAGCTTTATGACCCATTATTTATTACTCACTGAACACAGGTCTTGTTGGTCTTCTGATCACTGTAGGTTTCCTGGTAATTATGTCATCTGTTGAACACAATGACATACCAATAAACATTAACAGCTTCAACTTAACAAAAGCAGGTGTGTGCAAATGTAGAGAGCTGATTTCAATAAATCTTTATGTATCACAGCAGAGGCCAAAAATGAAGGAATATGTTTTCAAATCTTCTTTTTTGTTTGTTTTAAAGAAGATTTTAATTTCATGATAGAAACATTGAAATCTAGCATTCTTCAGTTCTGTGTATCTTTAACAGAAGTAGTAGCCACCTCATATTCCATTCCTCAAGGAAAAAGACTTAAAATTTACTATTAGATGCAAATGCCATAGTAAAATAAGGATAGAAAATTTACATACCAGGGTGATCAAGGGCATCAGCTAAATCAAAATCATCTTGACCTAGAAGGAATGTGACAGAAGACAGTAAGTCAGCAGGAAGGTTTCCATGGTCTCCAGACCTGATGGCTCAGTACAGAAGCAGAACAGCAGTAAGAGGCCCATCCAAACAGCAGCAAGCACAGAACAAGCTGTCAGCTGTCATCCCTGCACAGCACAGTCTGAATGACTGTGAGAGATGGGCTCATTTAATCCAAGGAAGTTATTTGTTCAGCTAGGCCAAAGAGAAGCTGCTCTCTCGTGTTATCATATTCAACTGCTGTACAAACTGCCCTTTGAAGAGCACAGGTTGCCAGCTAAATGGCACAGGACTATTGCGGGCACAGGACTATTGCCAGGAGACAGCAGAGTACTTGTGAACCAAAATCATTAGGTGAGAATTTTTAATATCTTCATTATTATTTTACTGGCTCAGCTTTAGCAAGCACCTTTACTGTCAAACCTGCCTTGTGATCACTTGCAATACAAATAAATTTTGTTTTTTTAATTCTTGCTGTAACATGGGCCATAAGTATAATATATTAAGATGTTTTTATCTAATTTAGTTTCCTCTGTAAATGAAAAAAGCTGAAAAGGGGAAAAAAATTCTTCCTGTACTCTGTTAGGTGACAATATCTTTGTCACAGCAGAGTAATTAGCATCTGTACTTTTGAAGTGAGCAGGCAAAGAAAACTGAAAAATAGTTTAAATGTATAAACTGAAATAGATGATGTTGAGCTGAAAACACACAATTATTCATAAGAGTTTTACTTTTAACTCTACAATCTGCCACTTTCCTTGTAATATACAGGCTTCGTGAAACACATGTTTGACAAATATGTATCCACTGGATGGTTTTCATCCAGGGTGGTGCATCATCCTTGTGTTTGCATTCCAAGCATAAGATCAGCCTACACAAACCCACAAAAAGTCATGACATGCTATGACTTCCCTAAACAGAAATGCATTACTGTGCCCTATAGACAAAGCCTCAAGCTGCACTTGATCTGCATACATTTATTATCCCTTCTAAAAGGCTTAATACCCAACTGTTCATTAAGGAGTTTTTCTTGGCAAGTCTTGAACACTTCACAGCAAGAAAGGCATCACTGTTCAAGTGAAGAAGCTGAGGAACAGAGAGAGGCTGCCAGAGGTTTGTCAGCACAGCAGTGCTCAGGGTTCAGCTCAGCTCCTTCATCTTGACATGTCCTGTACATCTTCATGGCATTCTTCTCATTAATCACTGTTCCTGAATAATAGTTCTTGCCTGTGTCAAAGAGCTTCCAGAAGATTAATTATCAGTGGTGAAACACTGTGTGATCCTCAAATAAAATTCAGGACAGGAATATAAAGTAGAAATGTTTTGATTCCCACGAGGATTTTAATGTAAGTCTGTGAACTTAATTATAGATGGGGTCTGATGGAAGAGATAAAACAAGGCTGGGATGCAAAGAAGGAATGGCTTCTCAAGCAAATCTGTCCCAATAAAATATTAAGAAGAATATGTTTGGTAAGTAAAAACATGTAACACCATAAGACTTTCCCAGTAACATTAGCAGAGTGGTAAATTATCTCTTTATTATTTGATTTGTTCTTGAAGTGTCTGGCCACCTCTCCCTCCTCTGCCCTGGCCCCTCAGCCAGCATTGCCAAGTTCAGTAACTTTTGGATTGGGTCTTCAGGTGGATAATATTAATGGAATCATAGAACCACAGAATGGTTTGTGTTGGAAAGGACCTTGAAGACCATGTATTTCCCACTCTCACTGCCATGGGCAGGGACACCTTCCACCAGACCAGATTGTTCGGTGACATATTCAACCCTGAACACTTCCAAAGATGGGATATCCACAACGTCTCTGGATAACATTCCAGTGCCTCACCACAGTCACAGTAAAAAAACAAATCTTCCTAATATCTAATTTAAAACTACTCTCTTTCAAATTAAAGCCATTATTAAAGCCATAATCTAAGACTCTGACAGGTTTTTAAATATGAATCCATTAAGTACATAAATCTATAAAACAAACAAATTGCTTTATCAGAAGATATTTTCTGTTTGAGCCCAGAGTGCACCACCAGCTCTCACTGGCCCTGAGCTTCTGCCCATGGGCTGTCACTCCAGCCATGGAACCCTTTGATCTTGATGCAGACACACTACTATGCACAGGCAGACATCCTGGCATTGCCTTGACTTATATGGTCAAATTATATTTTTCTGAAGCATTTCTTCAGTGCCAGCAGTACGAGCAACATAAGCTTGACAGTTCTTTGATTTTGACCTCTGGCAAAATCCTCATTTTTGATCAGCATCCTGAGTATTGGAGGAGGCTGTCTGACCCGAACCCCATTGCCTCAGGATACCACGATCAGTGGCTGAAACCTCTTCTTGTTGGAGTGAGTCATCAGGAATAATTTTGTAACTATAATCAGAATAAGAGTCAGGAGAAAAAATTTTGTAATACCGAAGAGCTGCTGGCCAAACCAGCTTCTTTTTTACAGGTCATGACAAGCAGGAACTAACTATAGAAAGCAACTACCAAGTTCCTAATGCTGTAAAGAGAATGTGACAAATTCATTTTGTGAAGGGAGACTGTGGAAAACTTTCAGGTAGAATATTTCTTTGAAGTTAGGGAAAAACAAAAATAGAAGGTGGAATCTAATCAGGTCATGAAATTCAAGCACAATGATCTAGATTTCAATTGCATGAGAACTGAAGCAAAAAAATAGACTGAAACATTTACTGACACCTGCCCTTCTTCTGGACAATGCCAACATTTCCCTCTCCTATTGTTATGTCTATTCTGTTATTGAAAAGGTGTGAAAAGGCAAAAGGTGCTGTTTTGACACTGCAAGGGAAAAAGAGAATAAAGCTATAGAAATTTTAGAAAGAGGGAAAAAAAGACTGAAAACCTCCTTCAGAAATTATTCAGATTGATTTTTAAAAAAATTATTTCTGGTGATTAACAAAGCAATAAAAAGAAAAGGACATCAACACAGAATGACTGCCTGAGAGTAAGACAGGAGTCCACAGTGAGATCTCTTTGACTATGTAAACATAAACCTTGACAGATGGGCAGTTTGTATAAGGACATCTGTGCATCATGGTAAATTATATTCAATAAACCTAAAGACTGCTTGGATTTCAATGCCAGCTTCCTCTGATAATAACATCAGATGACCACAAGATTCTGTGAAGCAGAATTTTAAATGCTAATTACCATTCCTGAGACTGTACCTAGACATTTTTTAAGAACATAATTTAAGGAAGATAGTTCGTTAAATAGCTGAACAGCTCAGACTTTATACACACCATGGTCAGTCAAAAACAAAACCACATTAGAGTCTCAGAAAATATTTAGCTTAATAGGAGCTGCAGTCACTTTAGAGAACTCTGAAGATAAATGACAAAAGAAATAAATTAGTGAAGCTCTCCACAGAAAAAACAGACTGAAATAAATTAATTTTACACTTCTTTTTTTTTATCAGCTTCCATAAAAGAAAGAGTTGGATATATACTGATGATAACAAGAATGAAAAAAATTTTAGTAGGGCAGAAAGAATTCCACTGTTTTTTAAAATTGGTTGGGTTTTGTGTTTGTTGCTGTTGGCTTTGTTGTTTGTTTTAATCTGGATAAAGTTGTGAAGAGATTTAGCTGTGCAGGTGGTATTATCTCAGAGTTATCTCTGCTATTGCTGCTTTTAGGCTAGTGTGCTATTTCTTGGCATTACTTCTAACCTTTCTTCTGGGAGTACCCCTGTTTTGACAAAGAAATAAAATTACTGTAATAATGTTTTCTGTGGGTGGTCCTCAATGACTTATAACAGAAAATTTGAGAAAATGCTCGCAAACTCATGTCCTTGGGCACATCTGCATTTAGTGTTCACTAATTTTGAATATTAGTTTTCTGAAAATGTGACCCAAATATCCAGTCACTAAAATGCAGACAGTAGCATCTTTTGTCCATGGTTTAATTTTTTATCTAAATGTTGAATGGGTCCACGACCCTTTAACCATGTATCTGTGTGATCACAAGGGTCTGAGGTCCTACAGCTTTTGAGTTGAATTTATGAGAAACAAGGCTGGATTCTGCAGGTGACTGTTACCAGTTTGTCATGACAACAGCAGTCAAGTTTTCTGACAAAAGGCTACCACAACATCACTCTGCAATTTTTTCAATCTCCAGTTGAACACAGATTGTGGCCCTTAAAATGATGCAGATTTAGAAAGGTAGAAATTAATATTTCTAAGTGAGAATCAGGTTATGTGACAAATGAAATTAACTTGTCAGGCTTTCAATATGCATAGCCTAGTATTAAAAAGGAAACTAAAATCCATGAGAAAATGTGTTTGAATGTGTTTGTACAAGTTTTTGGACACACACCTAAAATGCATATATGTGCATTGTGTTAGATAAATAATTTTGTCATTAAGATTATTAAATTAATTGGTTTTGGGCGCATTGTTAGTTGTCATATGATAGGGATGAGTTTATGTGTGTGACAAATAAATTAGAAGCAGCTAGCTTCTAATTTTGAGCAAGATAGGGAGATTAAGTTGATTTTACAGTATTTAAAGACTTGAACAAGTATGATTTCTCCAGTGTAATTAAATAGGAATTGTTCTGTGAATACAATGTGCTTAAAACATTATGAAGCTGGGAGAGACTGAGAAAGAAGCCTGTGACTTAAAAATAAGAGCAAAAATTTTATAAAAGGGAACAATATGTTACCAAAATCACTCATGAGAGTCATTTTATGGGGGGGGGGGGTTTTAGCTGAAATTCTAAGTAATTCTTTGCACAGACCATTTCTGATTATAATACAATCAAGAAACCTATTTACTCCATAATGAGAAAATAGTATGTATTTTCCCATGCATGGGACATACCCAGGTACTGGTCCAACTTTGTTCAGGAAGCAGTGTTTGTTTAAAGGAAATTACTCATTTCTGGGAGAACACAAAGGTTTACACCCCAGAGTGGACACTCTGGACAAAATCTCCATGAGTAGGTACTATTTCTTTCATGTAGTAGCCCCATGATCCATATTTCCTGATGATGTTACTGTAGCTTGTTTTTCTTTGAGGACCATTAGTTCCATAAACAACGATTGCCATTACAACCCCTTGATGCTGAGGTGGAAAATGAGTATGCTTTAAAATCTATAATTAAGATCCAAAGTCCAGCATATTGACCACAACATGTGGACCTGATTATTGGCTTCATATTTTTTGCTAGGCCACTTCTGGTTTTAGTTTAAATGCAAGGGAAATGAAAAGGACTCTTTTGCTTATTCATACAAGAGCACATTTAAATAATTACTAGCAACTAAGATGCACTAATAAAGTAGGAGTGGCAGTACTGCTTTAGCTCTGTGAAACACAATGTCACCAAACACAAACAAAAATCTTTTAGTTCTATTATATTTGCCTTTCTGTTCAAAGGCAACTGGTTTTCTTTTTGTTCTGATATGCCCTGCATACATAAAATAAGAGAGATACAATTTTCTGTATTTTGCTAGAGAGTGAGTGCAGAAGAAGATGGTGTGTGCTGTAAAATTGCAGGCAGAGCAAAAGAATTGGGGTCTCCCATGAAGGAACAACATATGTGTTCCTGTGCATCTTACTCAGATTTTCAGCTTTGTGTCATGAGGCAGAAGAGCTTAACCCACGGTGTGGGCTCTTTGTCCAAAGCTTCTCTCTGTCACTACAGGTTCTTGAAGATGCCAGTCCTTTTCGGCCATTTGGTCTGAGAGTCTCAGGCTTAGTGATGGTCACATTACATGAGAACTGTACTCAAACAAGAGACCTGTATGAGTGTTCCTACTGAAATCCTTAGTGTGGCAGAGACAAGAGCAGTGTTGGGCTCTCGGAGTGACCACTCACTACCTAGGTACCAGCTGGCTAATCCCCACTTTCTCCGGTGAGTACTTTGGAGACAACAGAGGGAACTGAATATAATATACGTGGTCAGGGAGATGCCAGGCTTTGCTGTTTCTCTTGCTCACAGAGTGTTTTAATGTTTCTATTCCCACTTTCACACCAGGTACTCTGGTAAAATGCACGCAAAAGATCTCTTGACCTTCAATATGGATAGCCCCTGGTTCCTTCACTACTGGTGTAATTAGACCAGGGATGTAAGGAAGGACTTCCACTTATCTGCTAATCTTAGTGCCTACATACTTTATGCCTTTGCATACACTTTTTTTTTTTTTTGTAGCATTGTTGCCATTTGAATGAATCATTGCTGTGATTTAACTTTTACATGAATTCTTCACAAATTAAAAATCTATAGATAACAGGCAAGGCTTACTCAGGGAAGTGGAATTGTTGTATTTTCATAACCCATCCAAGCCCATACTTTCAGCTGGGATGGTGTGTTTGCCTTCAGAAAATATTGTACTACAGGTCAGATCTAAGTATTTTTAATATTTTCCCATAACATTTGTACATGTCAACCTGTGGAAAGGAAGGAAGACTCTAATCAAAACAAATTGAATCTCTCGCCTCCTACTGTGAGACAAAATGCCACAGAAAGGTCTATTTTTATTGATTTCTAATCTTGAAAGAATTCTGACATTTACTTGTTATTTATTACCCTCAATGGGATGGAAAAGTTTTGACAATTGATGGTGCAAATAAGTTAATAATACATATTCAGGTAGGTTGGTCAGTGCTGCCAGGCTTGCAATATGGCAGCAACATTTGGAAAGTGAACCTGAGAAGCTGAGTAACTGCACCAGTTGTTTTCTCTTCCCAAGCTCTGATGTTGCAACAGTCCTGCCATTGTCAGTATTTCAACCAGTTCAGGTATGTGGATTTTCCAACTGCAATTACACCCTTAGCTGATAGCACTGATGTGCCTAAAGATAGTCGCAGTTCAGGTCTTGGGTGTGAAATAGTTTTGGCAGCCAGCAGAAGAGAATTTGTTTCCTGCCGAATCTGTAAGCACTTCAGCACGTCCACAGGGACCTCACACAGAACAACAGTGAGAACTGCAGATACATGGAGCAGTGTAAGAAAAAACAGGACTGTGTTTGTCATCTCTCCTGTCTTTTAATTCCAGTGAAAACTACATTATTCACATGACTAAGTCACACAGGGTCTCAAATTCAAACTGGTCTACAATTTTCTCCCCATAAAGGGCACAGCTGATTAACTGAGACTAAACTGATTTTGGGTAAAAAGCTTTGTAAGCCTTAGCTGAGCAGAGGTGCATGGTTTACTGACTTCTGGTTTACAATTTTCTCCCCATAAAGACTACAGCTGATTAACTGAGACTATAACTGATTTTGGGTAAAAAGCTTTGTAAGCCTTAGCTGAGCAGAGGTGCATGGTTTACTGACTAGCAACAAATGCTGTTCCCTTTACCTGTGTGCCCTTCAGTACCTGATGGAGTAAATGTGAACCATCTCAGACATATCAGTCTTTGCACTGTCTTTGTTACTGGCTAAATGTGATCCATCAGTCAACATTAATATAGATTATACCTATAGATTTATAGGTATTATACCTATAGATTTATATATAGAGATTATACCTCCACTGGAAACCTGAGGAGCATTCTGAGCAATCAGATCCGAGAGTCTCAGTTGCCTTCCATGTCCATATAGGGGAGGCCCCTCGCGTTGCACAGCTTCCCCACTGCAGGTGTGCACACAGGTTTGTGGCCCAGGTGGGACCTATGTTTCATGATCTCAGTTGGGATCTCTCTCTTACTGGGGGGAATCCTGAGGTGTGTCTGAGCACACCTTAAATGGGCAGTGAAGCCACAGCCAAACCTTTTCAGGTTTGGCTGAATTATCAGAGATAGCCAAGCTGCAGGAACTCATTAAATTACCATGGAATTCAGTGGAAGAAGTTTCTGTGAAGTTTATTTCATTTGGATTGGGCTAAAACACTCCCAGAAAATTAGTTGTTGAAGCTCAAATACATAGGAGTCGTCATGTATAAGTCTGGAAATTCCAAAAGCTAGAGCGTAGGTAAAAATTAAATACTACAGTGAGCATATATATTTCTGAACTGTATCATATTTCACTTTCCTTGTGCAATATGGTTCTTGGTTCTGTTATGCTTCTGTCAACATGTGTTCATCAAGATAGTCTAGCTAACTCAAGATAATTGGACATAAAGGAAATGCTGGATGGGAAGAGGAATTATGTCATCTGGTCTGGCTGTGGTGGTCCAGTATTTTATAGATGCTATCACAGAGGATTACAACTTAGAAAATAATTAAGTGGCCTATAAAAGGGTGAATCCCTTAGACATCCCTTTCATAAGTCCTTAGACCAGCTTTTCACCAGCACAGCCAAGCCTTTCTCATATCATGTCTTGACTGGGACTGAGGGCATTCTTGTAAATATCCCTGAAACATGGTGAATACTTTGATGATAAAATTCAGTGGCTGTTGCCACAGACTTAAAATTATTAAGTTTGTCTGTCAAACTGGATTAAATAGTTTCCAGAGTCATAAGACTGTGCCCAGAGCCCACAGCAACTTTCAGCAATGACTTCTCCCCCCAAGCAGAGCCTGATCTTGCTCTAAATTAATGTGTGTATAAATGAAGAATGATTAGGCTGACTACCCTTGTAATTAAAATAGTAGAGTATTTGCAAATTGGCTTGCTCATGCTCAGATTGTCTGAACAGAACTATTCAACATATGACAGTTACAGAACAAGAAAGTCTGCATGCCAAGAGGTGAGAGACTGCATGAATCACCACTGCTCACAGCACAGCACAGTCCTGCTGCTCAGCTCTTTCTGTGCCATGCTAGTTGCTGAAGACCTCTAAATAATTCCTCATTTGTTAAAATCAAACTATTAAACTAAATTAAGACAAGATGTTTTGCACTGCCCATCACTGCAAGATCTCCTAGGGACTTCATTTAAATCGGGGGGGGTGGGAGGATCAGCAGCAGCTGCTATTTTGGAACTAATGATTAATGATTGATTTCTTCCTACAGCCAATACTGTACTAAAATTTTCTGCAGAATTGTTAATATACAAAAAAGAAAAGGTTACAAGTATACCACATGGCAGATGCATACAAAGGTAATTCTATTTGGTTTGACCTCAAGAAAAGTTTTAAAGAATATTTTGCTGAAAGAAGTTTTGTTTGAATATAGTAAAATGACTCAGAATGAAAAGGCTACATTTTCCCTATTGCTATTAATTCATCAAAAATATATATTAAAAATTATTCAATTCTTCATTAGCCCTGCATGAAAAGGTATGCTTGTGTGTGGAATACATTTACTACATTTACTAAGGTAAACTATTAGTTTATAATTATTAAAGCATATGCACCAATATAAAAGCACAAACACCTTTAAACTGAATCAGAATTAGTTTTTTACAATAAAAGTCATAGGTTTCAAAATACCAATAACTAAGAAAATCTTTAAAACATGAAGTCATTATTTGACTAAGGGTCTCTCTGGAAACTCTAAGCTCCCCTGCAAGCTCTCATTTTACAGCTTCCATTTAAAAAAGTTTATACTCAAGCCTCCGCTTGTGAATCATTTTAGGGAAGCAACACAAGTAAGAAAATAAGAAATTATAATAAACTTCAACAAGCACAGCTATTATGAACAATCATCCAGGAGATATGTATCTCTTTAGAAACTCGTAAAGTACATATAAACACTTTTGAATGCTTCTCATGAAAGAGTAGCTCCAAAAACCAAAAATGCCAGCAAGCATTTCCAAACAAACAAGCATCCCTTTTCAGGGTTGGGAGCTTTAGATTTTTTACTCAAAATTTGAGTATTTTTGGGGTGTTTATTTTTTGTTTTGTTTTGTTTTTTCCTTTTTTTTTAGATTTTTTGGTTTGAATATTTTTGGGTTTTTTTGTTGTTTTGTTTTGTTTTGTTTTTTCTTTTTTAATAATCTAGCCTTTGATATAAGCCAAGGTAAAGGTCGCTTACCTCTTACATGCACTAGAAGGAAGCCAAGGCACAAAATAAAAATACTTCTGAATTTCTCCATGCTCTTCTATGCAGTGCCTTGATTGCACCAGTTGGTTTTTCCAAGCAGTGATGACAGATGTTGCAACTGCAGTGCCAAGGTTTGAGGGATCCAGCAGCTCTAAAAGGTCCAAAAACGTTTCTCACCACTACGCCCAAGCTCTGCAAGAGAGTGAGAAACCTTCTTGCTTACAAGGCAAGTAACAAAAACAAGCAACCCTGCTACAGCCAAGCTGTGAGCAGCACATTAGGTGCCACCAAGAAACTTATTTATCGTCCAGGCAGGAAGCACAGAGAGCTGGGGAAGCAGTGGCAGCACCCAATGAGGAGGGTGCCTGAACACTCTGGATCCACCTCCTTCCCAGAGGGGAAAGCCAACCTGTTTGACACCCTTGCCTTCCAAGTAGGGCGTGGTGCTGTGGGAGCTCAAGTAGCTTGTAAGAGGAGACTGTCTTTCTCTGAAGCATGCTTGAAAGAATCACTCAGACATACTCTGTCCTCAAAGCAGCACTTTCCTGCTTGTTTTTTGGCTCAGCAATAACAGCTGATAAAAGCAATCCTGTCAGACTTAACTCTCACTCAGGCCACGAAATAAAGGAAGTGGATGGAGGTTAGGAATCCACTTTGCAGCAACTTGGAATTGGCTACAGAGGGATGACAAAAAAAACTAGTTTCATAAATTTAAAATGTGATGTTGGACTACTGAACTGAAGCATGCTCCACTCCCCAGTAGATGCTTAACTTCAGAGGTAAACATTGCACATCACGACTGTTTCTATTGATCTAGTTTTTTGGTTTTGGGGATTTTTTTTAAATATAAATATCCATGCATAGCGTTCATGGGGAGAGATGTCAGATAGTGCTGACTGTGATGGTACAAATCTTTGGAAGATGAAAAAAAATCATGCATCTATCTGTACATGGACTTGAATTTAAATTACTGATGTGATTTAAATCCAGTTTTGTCATAGCATCATAGCTATCTCAAGTATTTCTCTGGCAAACACATGTGCCTTGTCCTTTGAACTGGACTGCAGCCATCACCCTGGTGCCCAGCACCAGCAGGGTGACTGGTGTGCATCCTCCCTTGTGCTGGGGGATGAGCTGCAGGGGGTTTTGTCAGAGCTGTTTTGTCTGGGGCAGCAAATAGCTCATGACTCTGCTACCGTGAGTGGCCAGTCTGAGCACTTGTGTTGTTTCAGGGTGATTCAGTCTGGTGTGGGGCACAGGCTGCCCCCAACTGCATTTCTGTTAATGCAGAACATACAGCTGAATTCATGCTTTCATGGTAACTACAAAAACCAGATGCAACAACAAGATGGACTGATAGAACGTGGTGGTACTGGGTCCTTAAGAAGCTTGGTCTTCAAGCAGGTCAACTTCCTCCCTCTCCCCGGCCCAAATTTGAAACAGCAGAACGGTTTGTAAAGATCTGGCTTAAAGCTACTAATAGAAGCTCTAAAGTTCAATTTGAGTATCATCATTCTCCATGTCAGGGCAAATTGCTCAGTCTCAGAACAGCTAAGAAGATTTAGGCTGAGGAGGTGACTTTTTCAGTCAGTTGAAACAAGAACTATACCATGAAATGAGCAATCCCATAAATCCAATGGCTGTTTGTTCTTTCTTTCCAGAATGCCAAAAGCAGGCCTGCATGTGCTGATCTTCACACTAGTGATGAATTTGCCTGAAGGGAACAGGAATGTTGGCAAAGTTAGGTACTAGTCCCAGGCAGGTCCAAACAGCTTACACATGTTCAATAGCTTTACTTCAAAATAGTTGTTCCTGCAAGTGAAGTCTTCCCAAAATGCATTGTCTCACCTGCCTGCTGATACAACTTCATTGTGATATTGAACATTCTCAGATGAAGTTTGAAGATGATGCACATCTTGTTCAGTCCTTCTGAAGCCAGCTATTTCCCTGTCTAGCTCAATAAAATTATGAAAGTGGGCAGCACTGGAAGGAGGGGATCTTGTGTAGGAGTCACTTGAATGCTTATCCCCCTCCTGTTCTTGGGAGCATTACAGGAACTTCCTAATCTCGGTGCTGTCAAAAACATACAACAGCTTTCCCAAGATATCAAGTAAAAAATACTGTATATTACAAATATCTGACCATAAATAGCAGTTTTAGCACTTGAAATATCATTGACCCATCTTTTTCTGCATAAACGAAAACAAAGTTCTCTCTACTATTTACCTGACAAGGTGGATGAGTTGCCTACATTTTTTTTACTTTTTACTTGTTTTTTAAGAAAACTCCAATATTTCAGAAACTCGGATGGATGTAGAAAAGGAGACAGCATGTCTGTCTATTCTCTACATACTTTTACCCCATCAGGCCTCTTTTGGATGAGACAAACTAAAAGGGAGCAAGAGTTCAGTCACAACTCATCACAGTGGCAGCCTCATCTTCGTGTGGGCAGAGGTCAGACATTGCTCTCTTTGGCGTGGGCAACCTGCTGTACGTGTCTACTGGAGATGAAACAACTGAATTATACACTAGAACTACTTGGGAATGCCACTAATATCCTACACTACTCATTTTTTTCCATAAAAACAGAAGTACTTTAATTAAAATATTGAAGCATCCAGTAATATAAACCATTAATTTAAATGTTAGCCAAACACACAAGTGAATTGGTGATACAATTTCTTGACAACAGAAGAATAAAATTACTACGTACTAGCTAAAGCTTCAATGAGTTTTCACAAGCAGATGGAGGAATATGTATTTTAGTCTTGTGGTTATTAAAGTACTCCAAATACAGAGATTTGGGAAAACTGTGGGTTTTCTCCATTTAAATCCTCTTCCCATTACTAATAATCTCTTCACTTCCTTTTAAACATGTTTTTGTAACTGTGTAACAGAAAAGAGCAAAAAGGAAGTAACATTTTTCAACTTGTCTCTCAAGTGAAAAACACACATACAACATGTGGTTGAGATTGTGGCCTAAAGTGGAAAAAAAAAAGCCAACACAGAAAAGCAGCATTGAAAGTGTAATTCAGCCCAAGATATACTGAAAACTGAGTGCAGTAAAATGTTTTTCTTAGCATTCAAAATTTGGCACAGATACTGAAATATGCACAAAAAAGGGTTACAGCAAAAAGCTGTCAAATGTTATGCTTAAGATTTGCTTGCTTTCATTTGCACAATCCAATTAATTCATTTGGATAACTTTGAGTAAGTATTTAAAATGAATATTGCATTTCAAAACCATCAAAACATTTTTCAAGCAGTCTTTTCCACCAATAGGATGAATAAACTGCCACTGCAGCCACCTTGTAGAAGATAAAGTGATGTATTATTTATTGTTCTACAAGATCCTGCTTTGATTATTTTTCCTCCTATTACTGATGGCAACTGCTCCTCATCCTCACAGGAGGTAGACTAGAATAAGAATTGCAAGTGAAGAGGGTGTGCCACAGGAACAGGGCAGTGCTCTTTGCTGCCACCCATTTTAACTCAGTTTATTGGTAAAGGGACCTCACAGGGATCAAGTTGCAGTTTGGACTCAGAAAGGACAGTACTTTTTTCATTCCACAGTCTGATTGAAACCTGTATAGAAACTGCATTAATTCCCACATCTGAAGGTCAATGGCAGCTCATAAGGCCACGATGGGCTGCAGCTATCTGGGGGATGCGACTGCAAAATTACTTCAGTAGAGTGGTGAATAATGGTTAACTGATAATGTTCCCTGTCCCAGAGTGTAGGACAAATAATGAATTGGAATATTCAGCTCTGTACCATAATGGCAGATGAGCAAAAAAGAAAAGAGATCAAATTTTCTGTGGGTACTGAGGCAAATAGCAATGCAACAATTAATACCCCAATAACTGCAAGTGTACTGCTATGTCTTATCCACAGGTAAGTAACAGAAACCCATAAACTGGCACATTCTCACAAGAGAACAGACTGAAATTTCAAGTTTTCTGGGGGCAGCAGCCAGTCTTTCTTCTTTCTTCCACAACTCCAGACTGTGGAACCACAACTGAACAAATCAGTAAGGTGGAAAAATCAGTGAATTTGTTATTATTCAGGCACTTGGCAACCCCTGCTTTGCCTTTTCATTCTCTTATGGTCCTCTCACATCAGAAGGCGAAACAACACATGGCCCTGCAAAAGTGTCTACTGCTCCAGGATCTGATAACTGGATGACAAAAACTGAACGCTTTTTAGTTTGTCCATAATAAGATGTCTAAGTGCATCTTTTCAGTAGATCCTGGGTTACCAAATCTTTTTCTTCAAAAGCCATGCCTGTCCTTCACACAGACAGATGTGTTCTCTACACTTCCACACAGGTAAGCAGCTCAAAGCTTTGCTGCTTCTGGCTAACTTAATTCCAAAATTATTGAAATGTATGTAGGAAATAAACCTGAGCTGCTGAGGGTACACAAACTATTTAAAGGATCCTTCCCTAGGTGAGTAAGCACCAAGTTTTTTTATTTTCCGAACTACTGAGAAGAAGAACATACAAACCTTTTTTTAAAATTTATTTTTAGAAAAATCACAATAGAACTACTGAGAAGAACACACAAACCTTTTTTTAAAATTTATTTTTAGAAAAATCACAATGTTGATAGGTCTTAGTAATTTTTAGGCTCACAAAAGCTGAAAAAGGATTCAAGAGTCTTGGTTAGCTAAAAGCTAGTTTAAGCTCCTCCTGCCATTTTATCCCTAACAAACACCGAGTTATTTTTATTTACTCTACACTTGGCATAGATATATCTGTTTATTCATGTAGGCAAGCAGTACATTTCTTTTCTTTGTATTTACATAAAACAAATGCTTATGTAGGAATCACTTTTGCACTCTCAAACACACTTAAAGGCTTTAGCACTTTTATACTAAAAGCAGACATAGGGAGAAAAGAGACTTACAAATTAATTCCATAAGAAAACACTAACATTTGAGTAAAGCTTTGTTGCAAGCTAAGAAACATGTACAAGAAATTCTTAAATGAATTATCCTTGGCATACATTCACATTTGAATGTACAGATATATTTACAGGTTTAATATCCAAATTCATTAATTTCTAAG